AGTATATTGGTATTTTTTCGACAGACACCAATAGAAGAGGTCAAAGATTTAAAAAAACACGGAAATGCAGAATTTTCAAAAGGAAATTATTTAATGGCCATCATACATTATACGCTAGCCATATCAATATGTACAGAAGCAGAGGCAATAGTTTTATCAATTCTGTTTCAAAATCGAGCTGCTGCTTATGATAAATTGGTAGGTAAATTAATGACTTTGGTCAGTTTTGACAAGAAAAAACTGGTTTTTCTTTAAATATAGATTATAACAATGGTAGTTATTGCTTATATTATACTTTCAGAATGATAATGAAAATTGCTTGGCTGATTGTAACAATGCCCTGGCTTTGGTACCAACATACAAAAAAGCATTATCCCAAAGAGCCAGAGTACTTTCAGAATTAGGCAACTTTAAACTCGCTTTAGAAGATATTACAGCTGTGATTATTTTGGATGGTTTTAAAGATCAAGGGGACCTAAGTTTTGCAGACAGTGTAAACAAAAATTTAGGTGATTACAAGAATAATTGTTAATTTCTACAAATATTTGAAATTGTATTTATACCATAAGTTAATATTTATTTTCAGCTAAGCAGAATATAGAAGAACACACAAAATACAGAGCTTTAAATTTACCATCAAGAGCGTTTATTGATAGCTATTTAAAATCTTTCTGTGATGATCCATTTTCTGAAGAATTTACAATGACATTATTAAAATCAGACATAAAGTAAATAGTATTTAATATTAATCATAATTTGTTTTTATTATCATAAAAAAATGAATAAATAGTTTTTATTAAATTTGTTAAGTATATAATACAATATATGTGTTAATTAATTAGTAGAGGTTTGGAGTATGCATTAAAATGTATTCAGAATCAAAATTATGAAAACATAGAAAATGCGTGTCAAGAAGAATTAAGAAAATCTGATAATAGTTTGATTCGTAGAAGTTTGACATTAAACTTATTAGCTACTTTTTGTATACTGCGGGGAAATTATGCTGCTGGTGTTAAACATCTTACTACTGTCATCGAAAATCCAAATGTTCCTAACAAGGTATAATAATAAAGTTAATCTTTTTT